ATGAAGGATGAATTGTCTAAACAAAAAAAGAAAAAGACTAGAAAGAAACCGTCCAGATGACCTGACTAAACTTTGTTGGATTGTTGACCTGGATTACTGAGCATGAACTTTGATAAAACGTTTAAATGTTAGTTTTCACCCCAGGTTAAAGGTTTTACACTATAATCCTTTTTATTATTATTATTAACCTGACAAATTAAAACAATTAAAACTCTTGTATGACGTTTCTATAAATAAAATAAACTGAAAAAAATTGGAAGCACAAATCAAAATTTTCACGGCCTAATTGTTGTTCTGGTAAAACTTTTAATGTATCACGTGGGAACTGCATGACCGTGTGCAAGATGTCCACTAACCTACAGTGTCACTGTAAGGTTTTATGGGCGGATCTTACCTGTGACACACTCACAGTTTGATAGCGACTCTCCAAGTCAGCATCCAAACACAAACACTTGAGTGGCAGAGAGAGCCACAGCAGGGCTCGGGATAATTGGCAACACTAGAGCCTTTGTGTATCCTCCATGACACCGCTTTGTTTCTGAGTGTCCTCCATATTTAAATAATTCTCTGCTTTTAGATTTCCACATCCAGAGACGGCACCTGCTGAGCCGAGTGCTTCCTTGATGAACCGTTCCGGATTGTTTTTAACATGCGTGCACTATTAGACCGTTTTTCATACAACTGGAGACGTATATAAATTATGGAAAGATAAATACAATCAGCTTTTGGGCGTCAGACTTCTTGTTTTCATTCAAGGATACTTTAAGTTCAGGTCTTGATCTTTGGTCAGGGATTTGAAATGAACATTGGCTGTAGGAAAAATGATTTGATTAATGGTGTTTAAATGTCTTAAGGACTTTTAAAAGTGTCTCAATTGGTGTTTGTAACCCCACACACAGAACATTTTCAGTAAAAATACATTATAACGTTTTATTTATTCATTGCATGATATGAATAATTAACGTGTTCAGTTATTTATACATACTGTATGATGTTAATAATTAAATATTATTTAAAAAAATTATTTAGATTGGCTTCCAGTGCAGCTCAGCCTCTTTCCAGTTCTTTGTTAATCATTTAATATCATTAATATCTAAAAAAAAAAAAAAAAATCACAGTATTTAGACATTTTTTCAGTAACCTGTCAGAAATTACTGAATAACTGAATTTGCAGTATGTTCTAAAAAACAAGGGGCTGTTTAATGTATTTTCAATTCAATTCAATTCAGTTTATTTATATAGCGCCAAGTCACAACAGAAGTCATCTCAGGGCACTGAACAGAAACATTCATAATTTAACATTATTTATCTGAGGAGCAGACTGCTTTGAATTTACTGTAACTCCATCACAAACTCTCATCTTAAGGAAGCAGGAAGGTAACAGTGGAAAGAAAAAAACTCCCTCATGAACCTTTAGCAGAACCAGGCTCAGGACAAGTGGTCATCTGCTTCAACTGGTTGGGTATGAAAGGAACAGGAAGGAGGAACAGATACACAATGGCAGGTCAAGAATCACATGTTAAGATAGCCCAGTCTTAAAACTGGAAGTTGGTTTCACAAGAGAGGAGCCTGACAACTGAACGTTCTTCCTCCCATTCTGCTTTTAGAAACTCTAGGAACCACAAGTAAGCCTGCAGTCTGAGCGCAAAGTGCTCTGTTGGGAAAATATGGAACAATAAGATCTGTAATATAAGATCAGAGTCAGAGTTTCTTTATTGTCATTCGCACTTCATGTGGAGCGAAATTATGTACACAGGGACCCAGTTACATCCAACAATAAAATCTATAAGAAAAACAGTAATAACATCTAAGATATGAACTAAGCAAAACATCAACTAAATATACACTAAGCACTCATAACATAAAACATTGAACATCAGCACAAACATGAACATGAGTCTGTGAGCAGATGTGCATGCAAGAACACATCAACATGAAACAGATCAGCAGCAACATTATGTGATTTTTCACAGTGATTATTCTAGTTAGAGATTCATGAGTCTAACAGCCTCAGGGTAGAAGCTGTTCCTCAGTCTAGTGGTTCTACACTTAATGCTCCTCAACCTCCTTCCTGAGGGGAGTGGGGTAAAAAGTGTGTGTGCTGGGTGAGTGGGGTCCTTCATGATGCAGGTAGCCCTCTTCCTGCATCTGGAGGTGTAGATGTCTGTGATGGTGGGGAGGCTGACTCCGACAGACTTCTGTGCAGCCTTCACCACTCTCTGCAAAGCTTTTCTTTCTGCAGCTGTGCAGCCTCCATGCCACACGTTGATGCTGGAGCACAGGATGCTCTCCACTGCACACCTGTAGAAGGAGGTGAGGACTGAGCTTCCCAGACCAGCTCATCTCAGCCGCCTGAGGAAGTAGAGTCTCTGATGAGCTTTCTTGATCAGGTTGGTGGTGTTGTTGCTCCAGCTGAGGTTGTCATTCAGGTGTACACCCAAGTACTTGTAGCTGGAGACCACTTCCACCGCAGATCCTCTTATGTACAGGGGGGTGTAGATGTTTTTGTTTCTTCTGAAGTCCACAATCATCTCCTTTGTCTTCTTCACATTGATGTGAAAGTTGTTCTCTTTGCACCAGCTCTCCAGGTGTTCCACCTCTTGCCTGTAGCTGGACTCATCATTGTTTGTGATGCATCCCACCACCACTGTATCATCTGCAAACTTTACAATGTGACAGCCTGGATGGGTAGCTGCACAATCATACGTGAGCAGAGTAAACAGGAGGGGGCTCAACACACATCCCTGAGGAGAGCCAGTGCTGAGAGTTATGGTGGAGGAGAAGAAGTTGTGGATCCTCACTAACTGTGGTCTGTTTGTTAAGAAGTCTAGTACCCAGTTGCAAATGGAGGGGCTTAGTCCTAGTGTGGATAGTTTGTCCATCAGGGTTTGGGGGATCATGGTGTTGAAGGCGGATGTGAAGTCCACAAAGAGCATACGGACGTAAGAGTTTTTCTGCTCCAGGTGGTTGAGCGCAGTGTGGACCACAGAGGAGATGGCAGCTAGGTTGTTGAGAGCTTTGTAGGTTAAAAGAAAGATTTTGAATTAAATTCTGAATTTGACAGGGAGCCAATGGAGAGAAGATAAAACTGGAGAGATGTGATCTCTCCTATGTTAGGACTTTCACTGAGTCTCCAAACACTGAAATTTAACTTGTCACTGTTTGTTTTTCAACAAAAAAATAAGGATTAGTATTCATAATATGCACAATGTACCACTGTAAAACACATGTGTGTACTTTTTGTAAATCTAAATCCCCAGCTAGATTCTTGAATACCCTTCAGAATTAATTAATGTAGAGGCTTATATTGAAAAAAATAAATATTACACTTTATTTTTAGGAAAAGTCTTACTTAATTTGATTTAAAAAAAACAAATATTCAGTCGTTTTTCCTTAAGGTGTCACAAGTAAAGATGCTGAATAGAAGTGACAGCCTTTCTTTAAGGTGTTGCCTGCATTGCAGCTGTGCAGAGAGAAACTCCGAGAGACTCTTGTGGGTCATTTGTGAGAAAATAACTGTAATTCAAAGTGTGCTCCCACAGTCGCTCCCGCTGTTTTCTTTGACCCCTGCCGATGGACTTACAGGCCGGACTGTGAGGTCAAGGTTTGCTGGTAATTTCACAGGGTTTCACATGCGGCGTCTGATGGTTCTTTGAGGTGAAAAGCTGAGTTGTGAAGATGTCAACTTTTGAAGAAACTTTGAAGATGAAGTCTGATTTCTTTTGAAGTAAAAAAAAAAAAAAGAAGAAGAAAAATGGTGATTCCAAATTTCTGAATATGAAAGAAGCAAGTGACAACAGAGAATTATTAATCAAAGACAAAGACATAATGTGCCTTTATGATTCTTAACTTCACTTTTATGTTTTAACAATTGTAATGTGAAGATTTAGAAATGTAAGAATGTAAAGTAAACCTTAAAAACTTTGCACAAAGTTGTGAAAATATGGATTTGAACATAAATAAACTAGATTTTGGTCATCTTTAGTCATTTTTAATGTCAACATTGCCCATTTCTGAATTCAAGCTTTTAAATGTGTATTTTTTTTCAGTCATAAATTTGATTGTTTATTGTATTTGGTTGGATCAAATAAATGATTTCATGAACAAACAGTCAAGTTAACAAAGCTGCAGATTGAAAAAAAAAAGATTTAAACTTCGCAAACATGACCCTCTCAATTAAAGCTCTTTTTTTTAATTAATTTGAAGCACCTCTGCAGAGTTATGATGCGACAAACATCTGCCTGCAGCTCCAAACGTTCCTCCACATGTTTGTGCATCACATTCATTTCAGTTGAGCATTTTTATTAGTTCGCGCGCCTGTTGAAGCCAAAATCACCTGCGCGTCCTTTAATGAAGAAATGGCTCAAACGTGCAAATTTCAGCAGGGAAATATGACTGAAGCTGGTTCAACAAAGCGAATCGCCTCGTTGTGTTGATTCACGTCATGAGGGCGACATTTGAATGAGACCGAGTCCTCCGGGCGCTCAGTGCGCATGCTCCAGTCTCAGCTCTAACCCACAATAAAAGTGTATGATTTCATTTAATGTTATATTTACGTCATTTAATGTCCAAGAGCAAAGTGTATGATGAAAGGAAAGCAGCACCGCGGTTTTCTTGGTGTTGGGTGATTTTACGCGCGCCTTAACTTGTTGAGGAGAAACCAAACCAGGATGTGTTGCAGAGCGCCGTCACGTCACAGTGAATTTGAACTATCTTTATTTATATATTTTTATGCGTGAGGAAACAGATATTTTGATTCAGCCTCATTCCAGCAAGCTGCGTAAAGTCCATCAGGTGTCCAGGCATGCGTTCTGAGCAGCGTCGTGCGCTCTCTCGTGGATATTTCTGCGCACTGAGCTCAGTTTCCTCCGGATCCAGGAGCCTTCGGAGCACATATGGAGCTGCCAAGTGCACTTTCCGTCCGTCTCGCACCTGTTGCTGCTTTCTAACACCCGCCCGTCATGGATGTAACAGGAAGGGCTCACTTCAGCCTCACCAACATGTCGGAGGAACAATCTGACTCCAACTCCACCGGCTACTATTTTGACAACCCATCAACAAAAGTCCAGCACAGCTTCGTGTTCTCAGGACCCATGTTTGTGCTCCTCATGGTGATGATGGTGACACTAGTGGTGGTGATAGTTCTGGGCAACGCGCTGGTCATTCTGGCTTTCAAAGTGGACAAGAGTTTGAGGAGACAGTGCAATTATTACTTCTTGAATTTGGCCATCTCAGACTTCCTTGTAGGTGAGTGCAGCTGTTATGTGTGGAACTACAGGATGTGAAGAAAGTTTTAAGCCACTATACATTTATGGGCATGACTATTGCGCAATAACATCGTTTTTTAAATTCTTACCTATAGTTCTGAATTCCTTTAAACAGAACATACGAGTAAAATCATCCAGATTAAGTGTTTTCTTTATGTCAGTCTAGTGACAAAAGCTTCAGATTATAGATATTTATCAAGTTTTCAGCTCTGACAATTGTGCTTTCATCACTCTACATGATAATACATTTAATCAATAAGCACAATCCTTACCTTCTGCCCCAAAAAGTCCTATGGCTGGAAATGAACAGTGTGCTTGTGTTTGGTGACCTTAGTGCATGAGTCTGGTGTTCCCCATCTGTGCAGGGGCGTTCTGCATCCCCGTCTACATCCCCTACATCCTGACAGGCAGGTGGACTCTGGGTCGAGGGCTGTGCAAGCTGTGGCTGGTCACCGACTACCTGCTCTGCTCCGCGTCTGTCTTTAGCATCGTGCTCATCAGCTACGACCGCTTCCTCTCAGTCACCCGAGCAGTGAGTGGAACATGATGTCCCTCAATGATTACAGCCAAATGAATTTCACCGTTGAACAGGAGAGATATGTTTGTGAAAGAAAATGACAAGTAAAACAAAGTTGAGCCAAAGTATTTGTTCTTCCTTTGCCAGAACTGACCCATACTCTATGTTAATCTATCAGTGTCCACTCATTTGACCTGCGTGGACCACGTTTTTAAGGTTTATTGTCAAATTCAAATGGCTTGGTTCTGCTTGCCTTGTGAATATTTAGTTGTTTCCTGCTTGAAGCTGCTGATACTTATTGGCCACTGGTTGGAGCACGTCAACCCCATTCTCCCAAACGTGCCCATCTGTGGAGGTTAATCACTCCTGACCCATTCAGGCTCAGTGCCACCCCTAATTAGAGTTTTTCTTTCCACAACAAAAACAATAAAAAGTCACATTATGTCTTAGAAACAATCTGGACTTTTGGGGAAGTACACAGAAAACACCAAATCTGTCACTTTGCTGTGTTTTTACTTAACATATCTAATGTCATTACATGATGTTGCTGTTCCTTTTTGCTAACCTGCATTTTTCTTCAAACCTCTGCCTCATTTGTTTGGGTTTGTCCAGGCGTCACCTGGCTGACACTGTACAGGTAAATCTATGATAGCGCAAACGTGGGATGATGCTTGACAGGAAAAAAATAACGACAGAGAGTTCTCTGTTTCCTTTCAGAGGCAAACACTTAACATCAGAGCCATGAATACAAATAACACCAGAGAGAGAGAGTGAACCTCTTCTTTAATTAGACAGCTTTGATCATAGAGGTCCTCCTCCGTGCCACGGTCCTTCCAACCTGCAGAGATCAAGGCGCAGGCTGTCGGCAGCCAAGCAACATTTTCCTAAAAGCATTTCTCTCTGAACATCGGAAGACAAAGGGCTGTCAGCAGTCAGAGACACAGTTTGTCTTTGAAAAGAAAAGGTGGAGTCAGATGACACACAGCTGGCATGACAGAGCACTGACAAAACTGGGCATTATTGGAAAGAAAGCACATTTTCTCTGTTAGTTTAAACAATGAGAGCGAGCAGAGTCAGTGAATAGGATCTTTACGAGTGCTTTATTGAAGAAAAGGTGTAGAAGATTGACATGCAGCTGAGGTACAAAGTAATTTATACAAATACAAGTGGTTCTGAGTTCAGTCTCTGAAACACAGCTAATTAGAAGCGGCCACAGTGACATATATGCAGAGCAGCTGAAGAGCTTTATAAGTGCACTGTCCACTGAGCAGGCCTGTGGACAGGGACCAGGAAGTGGCTATAATAGAGACGAGTGGCCATGAGAGGCACTTCATCGATTTAATACTCATTTACACACTTTTGTTCTTTGCACGGTGTTGGAGAGCTGGTCAGGAGTTGTTTTAATGCCAAATGGTCAAAATTTATAGAACAAGGCTTTATATTTATGCTTTTATGTAATATTTAGGAATTTGTTCTGTTATGGAGTAGCTATAGTTTAATGGTTATTACTGGGAGTTTTCAAGCTTACTCAGAAATTGTACCCAGTGTGGGAAAATGTGTACAGTTTTCAAATCCTGTAAGCTCCCCAGATGTTCCTGGGTGAAACTATTTATCATTCAGGTGACGTGAGTGCTCAGAGTCTGTTCTTTGGAAGTCAGACACTCACTGCACAGTTCTCCAGTTTAAAGAAAGCTGTGGAATAATTTAAACTTTATTGCATTTATTTGACAGTTAAAAGGAAAGTATGGCTCTCATACAAAGCATAAAACATAATTACTTGTGATGGATGTGAAACCCTGAAAATTAGTTACATCTTCTCCAAGAATACAAAAAAAAAGATGCTCCTACACAGCATCAGTCATAACCAGGTTTCACTTAGAATTATAAAATACAAGCCCTTATATGTTTACATTATAGAAAGGTCAAAGCACATGTGGTTTGACCTTTCTATAATGTAAACAGTCTGAATAACTTATCATTGTTTGTTTTAATTTAAAAAAGCATGTGCGAATACTCGTACAGTACAAGGAGAAAGTAGTTTCCATGGTAAATTTAGGGTGAATATTCTGGTACGTTTTTCTAACACATGTTTCTTGTTCCTGCAGGTAAGCTACCGTGCGAGACAGAGCATGACTCACCAAGCCATAATCAAGATGATTGCAGTCTGGGTGTTGGCCTTTGTCCTGTACGGTCCAGCTATTATTTTCTGGGAGCTGGTGGTGGGTAGAAGCCGCGTGCCGAAGGATGAGTGCTTTGCTGAGTTCTATTACTCTTGGTACTTCCTGCTGAGTGCATCCATGCTGGAGTTTTTCTCTCCTTTCATCTCAGTGGCTTTCTTCAACCTCAGCATTTACCTCAGTATACGCAGGAGGAGGCTCCACCACAGGGAGGCCCAGCTTCAGCTTCAGACAAGTGAACCTGCCTCTGCCCAGGGAGAAGGCATCCCCTTGTCCCACAACTGGGGGTTTGGAATAAAATTGCCTCTGAGAGGCTCCTTCAACTCCCAGACGTCCTCTCCATGTATGGGTAAACTGGATTCCTCAGCCAGCAGGTCGGCTCAGCCGAGCCGTCTGTCCAGGGACAAAAAAATTGCTAAGTCCCTGGCCATCATAGTGTGTGTGTTTGCCATCTGCTGGGCCCCATACACCCTACTGATGATCATCCGTGCTGCCTGCAGAGGGCGATGCATCCAGCATCACTGGTATGAGGTCACCTTCTGGCTCCTGTGGCTCAACTCTGCCATTAACCCGTTCCTGTACCCTCTGTGCCACAGTAGTTTCCGCAGGGCTTTTAGCAAGATCCTCTGCCCAAAGCGGTGCACAGCTTCCCCTTCATCTGTCCTTCGGACCGCTCAGTGACAAATGAACCCCTGTAGCTGGACGTGGATAAACACTGTGCCAAAAACTGTTGATGGAGGTATCCAAAACATAATCTGAAAGCAGATGATATGAATCATGGAGCTCAGTTTGTCAACCTGACTGTCATTAATAGTCCTCAAGTGTTTTTTCTTTTTTTTTCAGTGTTTGTAAGATGATATTCAAACTTTACAGCGCGGTGGGATTTGTTGTCATTTATTGTATTCTACACATACAGACACACCCAACGCTATATTAATCATTTATATATAGTGAGAAGACGTGAACAAGTTAAGAAGTTATGTGGCTAGTGCTAAAAAAAAAAAAGGCCAAAATTCATTCAACCTTTATTGAAACAGATTAGTCCCATTGAGCCACGAGGACTCATTTACAAGAGAGACGTGAATTTTAACAAAGAGTGATGATAACAGTGGTAAACAACAACAACAGACAATTACAAAGGATGCATACAAATTATTTTTTTTAACAAATTAAAATAAAATGCTAATTAAAAGGAAAAGTAGCGAAAAAACAGCTAGATTACGAGGCGGTGTAGAATATTTAAAACAGGAACGTGTCTGCATTGGTTCTTGCCAGGAACTTAACAGATGATTAACAGACTTAACAAAATGTGTATTACAATGATACCATAACAACCTTTGTGAGTTTATTCCTTCTTTCTATCAATTAATCTTTGTAGTGTATGTTCTGTGTGCCTCACAGTTATAATGTGTTATCATTTCTATCTTTCCTGCTTCAGCTGATCAGTAACAGATCAATATCACCCTCTGCTGTTGGAAACACTCCTTCCAGGAGAAGCACATTGATGGAAACACAAACTGCCATTCTGTTTTAAGGGGAAAAGCATGAAGTAAGATGTGTGGTCAACATTAAACATGTTTCTGCTTCTCTTGTCAGTCACTCAACTTTAATAACATATTTCTTCTGTTTGCTCTCACAATAATTTTTTTTACACTTTTTACACTTCAAAACGTATTCATTTCTTTTAGTTTTAAAAGTGTCCACCCTAATACATTTTAGTCATATGGAGAAGGGCATTAATTGGTAAAAATTAAATTAGGTTGTTTAAGAAAGGCAGCACGGTGGCACAACTGGTAGAGCTGCTGCCTCTCAGCGAGCAGGTCCTTGGTTCAAACCCCGGTCCAGGGGCCTTTCTGGGTGGAGTTTGCATGTTCTCTCCGTGCATGCGTGGGTTTTCTCCGGGTACTCCGGTTTCCTCCCACAGACCAAAAACATGCATGTTAGGCTGATTGATAACTCTAAATTGTCCCTAGGTGTGAGTGAGAGAATGAATGGTTGTTTGTCTCGTTTGTCTCTATGTGGCCCTGTGATGGACTTGCGACCTGTCCAGGGTGTACCCCGCCCCTCGCACAGTGATTGCTGGACATGGGCACCAGCGACCCCCGTGACCCAAAATGGAATAAACGGGTAAAGATAATGGATGGATGGATGTTTAAGAAAGCACCCCAAACTACTTTTTTTTGTCTGTAAGGGACTTGTGTAGTTGTCTTCTTCTGCCACTAGATGTCACTCTAAACCTTCACTAAATCATTGAATGGAGAGAAATCAGTGTGAGCTTCTCATCAGATTTATCAGATATTATTGTGAGAAATTGATTTGCTTTTGAGTTGAGTTGTAATTCATCTATAACTTCACAATCAGGTGTGTAGAACAGGACAGGTTTTCTTCTATACTCATCTGTAAGTTTTGTATTTTCTAGTCTTGAACTGTAACAGCAGCACATCCAGCGTGCCAGGAAATTGATTATCATTTCACTGTAATACTCCTGAAGGTTTCAGATAAGTCCATTATTATGATTATTATTATTATTATTATTATTATTATTATTATTATCAACAGCACTTGCTCAAATGTTTTCTATCTGATAAAATGATCTTGCATATGAAACAATAATTAGTAGAAACTTCTTTTAAGAGTGTGAAAACGAGGAATTTGAAAAAAAAAATGAATAAGCTCATCTTTTCACAGTAATTGATAATCTTTGCATACACTGGAAAATAAATAAAATGGATTTAATTATTTTTTTTCCTTTTTGTAAATGACCGTAATGTGGCTCGTAGCTGGACGAGAACCAAACACTGAGTAGCTTTTGTTTAAAAGGCGTATAATAAAAAAAAGCTGAGGTCTTGTTTTCCTGTGTTCCTCCTTCTATCCGTTGGTTTGATTTGTTAAGATGAAATTCTTCTCTCCAGATGTAGACTTGTTAGCTCTGTAATTATGCTGTTGTGTCACAGACTGAGGATGCATTTGCAGGTGCCTGGTCCCACTGGGGACTTACATTGCTCAAATTGTTGCTGTTGCCTGCGTGCACATCTGGGCCTCTGGTCAGGTGTTGGGAATAAGGGCACAGCTGCAGGTAACAGGCCTCTGCCCCCCTCCTCGCTCCCTCTCTGCCCACTGGGCTGTGTGTGTGGTGGGGGACAGCAGTGCACTTGTGACCGGAGGGATGCAGGCACATTTCCCTGGGGTTGACAGAACTGCATTCATCAGCAGAATGGCAAGGCTGGGTTTACTCTCAACTGCGACAGCAAGAGCAGTTTCACTCTGGAGCGCTTGCACTGTGTGCACTTTTATTGGGTGGGATACTGCTATTGATTTGGCTGATAGATTGAATTATCAAGACATGTGTGCCGATCTTATTGGCTGCGGACTGAGGCCGCGTAGTGGATCGTGCCAACTTAAGTTGGTTGAGGAAGCAAAGCACCATGGGAAACAGTGATGACAGAAGATAATTAGGGAGTGTGAGGAAGTGAGTGCTCGTGTGTTTCTTACGCCCACTTTTTTTACGAGGATCCTTGTGACTGAAAGCAACAAGCAGAGACCCAGTGGAGGTAAAGAGCCCTAATAACCTCCACAGGAGGTTCTATAAAAACATATGTTTTTGAAGTTCTCCTCACATTTGAGTGATTTTTTTACAGACATCTCACACACTAAAAACTGATGGGTTCAAAACAAGACATTTTGGAACCAATAATGGACTGAGCCAACTCTCAGTTGGCTTGAGTTATCAGTTTAACACAACATACCAGGTGAAGTAAAAAAAAAAATTATAAATAAATATATATATACAGTATATATATATATATATATAATTTATTTTAGTGACAATGATACTTTTTAAATTAAAGTTACTTAAAAGTGGAGTTTACAAGAATACAGACTTTGGGTTGGTGCTAACTAGATGGTGCTAACAATTATTAGCTTCAGCTAGCTAGCACCAACTACTGCTATTTTTAAGAATCCAAACCAAACTCCATGAAAACTAAAGCTATTAACAAGATGATTTTTTTATTGTTTATTTTACTTATAACATCTTAAAGAAGTGATCCAAGTTTGATCTTGTCAACTTCTGCCTTTAAATAGCAGACTGTGAGGAATGAGATCTGCCACCCAACCACCGGGTCAAACTTTTTCACTCAATATTTTCATCAAACCAACCCAACTAATCACCCTACAGCAGGGCTATCCAACTAAACTGCTCAGGGGGTCACAGTTACTGATAACCAAGAGCTCAGGGGCCAGACAGCCCACAAATATTATCATTAATTAAGTTTGTTTTACAATTTAAAATTGAGTTTTATTTTAAAATGAACCCATTGGTGGACCGAACTGAACACACCCGTGGACCCAATTTGGCCCCTGGGCTGCCATTTGATTAACCCTGCCCTACAGCTTTAACCCAGCAAATGTGTTGTCAAAATAACCCAGCAGGTTTTAGCGTGCATGCTTAATGCCTTATGATGCCACTATAATCTGGCAAATCGTGGAGGCGTTTTCCAAAAAAACAGAGGTCAGTTCCATTCGTGGTTTTGTAGAATTAAACTGGAACAGAGAAAAGAACCTGCAGACAGGATCTCAGCATTTCAGTGTGCAGAATGAGGTCAGAACTATGACCCCTTTAGAAGTTGTAGCTTCACTAAGTGTTCATTTTGGTCCAGCCTGGGCTGACTTTCTCTGCAATCCAAATGTAAACCCCAGTTAATATTTCATTAGGGACATACTTAAAAAGAAAAAAAGACTTTTTTCTGCCGGCCTCTTCTCTTCTTCCGCTTTTTTCTTCCTTTTTCCTGCAGTGTACCTCCTGACTAGAGCTTAAATAATTCCATTGGAATCCTCTTAGGATGGGTTCCCAGCACTTGGCAATTAAACAATTACATTTAATCAGCATGGGGCGACGCTTCAAGTCACCCTCATTTCAGACGTTGATTAAAAGCAATTCTGCAGTGGTTATTGCTGTCGACTTTCGAAACTGTGGTTCACTTAGGTTTACTGCATCTGTGGTGTCGGGCTGGATAGCAATATGGGAGGTTCAGTGGTGGTCGAGTGGCATATCTGCCTCTGGTGTGTGAAAGTGTAATGACAGCACTCACGGCAGACCTTATATTGTCCCTGAAGTCAGAGCCACTTAGATTAGTTAAAGACTTTTTGACCCGACAGCAAAGAAGACTCAATGAACAATGGAAAGGAGAGCAGCATTAAGTTGTGCATGTGGGAGTTTGAATCCTGGGTGTGGGGCTGTGTGTGTGCATGTATCATGCATTTGCTTGTTTCTATATGCGTTATGCATTTAAAGGGATAGTTCAGATCTTTTGAAATGCAGTTTTGTGGAAAAAAACAAGAACAATTAATGTCTTACCTGTTGTATATTGCTTTTCAAATGACCTCAGTTTGGAGAAAAAGAGGTAATTTTATTGGATTGAAACAAATTGTTGATTTAAATAAAGGCAATTAGACCTGTTCTTTATTATTGATGATTTTTTGCTTCCCATCTGAGGTGTTTTCTTAGTTCAAACTGAAAAGGGCAGAGTTTAGTGAGCTGCTCTGTTTTTGCAAGCTGAACTAACATCAAAGTTCAGTCAGGTCATCTGGACGGTTTCTTTCTTTTGCTGAGAAGTTTCGTCCTTCATCCAAAGGACTTCTTCAGTCCAAGGAGCCACAAACAAACTGGAGTCCCACAAATA